TATAACGGCTCTGTCGATAGTACTCCAGCGTAGCGTTGTAGTTTAGTGGTTCTGTCGATGCGTCGGCTGGATTGGACAGCTCTTCCAATGGAGCCCGGCCGGTCGGCTCTCGGGCAACCGCATGAACGCGTTCATTACCATGGAGAGAGGCGTGTCCAGGAGTCCAGACGATACGCACAGAACGTAATGCGGACGGTGAGACAGAAGAGAGGATACTGTGTGTATAGTTCGGTGATGTCCATGCTTTCATTTAAGGACGAAATTGAGCAGCTACAGCGCATGACTCCTTGGAAACTTCCGCTGCGCTAAGAAGCAAGAGGTGCCACGAAATTGTCGGCACATCTTTGTAATTTATCTTCCACTCTCGGGTAGATGGTGTGTTCTGTGCAATAACACTTCTGTATTTCATTGGTTCAGCTGTGCACCGCCTGATGAACATTGATGTGGACCATGTCTACGGCTGCAGCAGCAATGGAGTTTAATGCGAACCCCTGGCCGTGGCAATGAACCGGAAAGAAGTTTTCAATTTGACCACAGAAAAGACAGAAAGAACGCCGGGGTGGTCTGGAAACCGAGTGCGCGTGTGTCGGTCAAGCGTGTCCGCATTTGTTCTGATCTGATTTGATATGTAAGATTGAACGTCCCAAAACCACCATATATGATTATGAGAGACGCCGTAGTGGAGGGCTCCGGAAATTTCGGCCACCTGGGGTTCTTTAACGTGCGCCCAAATCTGCAGTGTTGTGTATGCATGGCCTTCGAATGCATTGATATCATACATTGTTTATTGCTGTTACTGTCTGGGGACATTGAGAGCAATCCAGGGCCCCCTAACGATAGTGCTGTCATTCTCGCTGAACTAAAAATATATCTTCTGGACAGGCTATAGCTTCTTTCCGAGGTGCAAGACCTAAAAACACAATTGAATACTACAGAAAAAAACTATCAGTGACCTAAGTAATAGAATAACGCAGCTGGAAAAACACTACCAAAGCCTCTCAACCGTTCAAACACAAATAACGGCGCTAGAGACCAGTGCAGGCACTACAGCTCGTCACATTCAAACCTTGGAGGCCAGGTTCGACGATGCGGAAAACCGCTCGCGACGGAACAACCTAATATTCTATGGTCTCCCAGATACTAACCACTCTGAAACTTTCTCCGAGTCCGAAGAACTAATTGTGAGCCTCTGCAGCAAACACTTAAACATTAAAATTGACACGAAAGAAGCTGAAAGGGCACACCGGCTCGGTCGTCACAAGCCTGGCCAGCACCGCCCGGTCATTGTAAAATTCACATCGTTTAAAACTAAAGAAACGATTCTTTCTAACGGCAAAAAAACTGAAAGGTACAACTTACGCAATAGGTCAGGATTTCTCTCGTTCCGTCCAAAATGCACGGAAACACCTCATTGCCTTCGCTAGGAGCAAATCCGTCGCTTTTTCATGCCCCTGCAAAACGTTGTTTCTTGGCTCCAAGCGGTACGTCTTCGATGAAATGTCACAGTCTATCAAAGAAATGGCGTAGCAATCCCAAAAGCAACGCCAACCGTCACACCGCCCATGCAATCGATTACGACCAAATATTTCCACCTCCGTAATCTACACTAACGCCCGTAGTTTTCTTTCTAAGCAGAACGATTATCTAATCTTGTTTTGTCATCCGACAGCAATATACTCGTCCTCACCGAAACGTGGCTGTCAAGTGACGTTACGGAGAATGAAATCCTGGCTGATCTCCCGAATTTTGACGTTTTTCGGAACGACCGCAAAGGGGCTCAAGAGGGAGGTGTTTTAATCGCCACTAGCAAGTCGCTATCGTGCTCAGTTGTCGACATTACATCTGACATTGAAATATTATGGCTTCGTATTCGTTCTACGCCAGTAACTCTGCTGCTTGGAGTGTGCTATCGTCCCCCACAAAGCAGTCCAGACTTTCCTGAGAAATTCAACAACATATACTGAACTACCTTACTGTTAAACAACCCAACGCGCATGTCCTACTTTTTGGCGATTTTAACTATCCCGATATTGACTGGAAAGACCAAGTCGCTTTGGCAGGGAGCAGTGTTGAAACAAAAGAATTTGTAGACATCTGCTTAAACTTTAATCTCACCCAGCTGGTATCGGAGCCAACCCGCGTGACAAACAACTCAGCCAATATACTAGACTTGGTTCTAACAACGCACCCCGAAAGTTTATCGTCACTTACATACCTTCGTGAAATCAGCGATCACAAGGTAATACACTCCGTCTTGAATTTCGACCACTTGTCCCGCAAGCCTCATCCTAAAACTATCAGTCTGTACGATAAAGGAAACTACGAGGCAATAAATAACGAACTTGAAAATTTTTTTCCGGACTTCGAAGCAGACTTTTGGAACAGATCAGTAAAGGACAACTGGACGATTTTCAAAAACAATATATGGGAACTGGCAACAAAGTACATACCGAAAACCACATTTCGCGCATCTTGTCAGAAACCATGGTTCACAAAAACCCTGAAAAAACTATGTAATAATAAGAAACGATTATTTCGGGCTGCCAAGATAAAATCTATAGCTCAGAACTGGGATAAATCCTACGCGGCCGAAAAAGCGTATTTCCTCGCCATACGCAGCGCAAAACACTCGTTTTTTCACACAGATTTACCCAAGATTCTAACCAATAATCCCAGGAAATTTCTGAAAATCATTAACCCCCAGGAATCCCACACGGTTACATTGAAAAATGAAGCTGGCGATGGTATGAGTACCACTGACGTCGTTGAACTTTTCAATGCTGCCTTTTCATCTGTTTTTACCAACGAAACCCACATACCGTTTCCTGCGTTACCGAATGTATCCAGTCTTTTATGTCGCCTATCACATTTATTCCATCGGTGTATTGTCTGTTATCGAAAAATTGAAACTGTCTTCCTCAGCAGGTGTGAACGAAATCAATGCTAAAATTCTTAAAAACACGAAATCTATTTCTCCAGTAATTTTGTCATTATTATTCTCACAGTCACTTCGCACAGGCATCTTACCAGACGACTGGAAGGTGGGGAAGGTCACTCCGGTCTTCAAATCAGGTAACAAAGACAGCCCCCTAAATTATCGCCCAATCTCTCTAACAAGCGTACCCTGTAAAATCATGGAACACGTCATCTACACCCAAATCATTCACTTTCTTGATGCCAATAACTTCTTCCATCCTGCCCAGCACGGGTTCCGCAAGGGTTACTCTTGCGAAACCCAATTAGCCCTTTTTGTCCAGGATCTGCACACAAGTCTAGATACTAACCTGCCGACTGACGTAATATTCCTGGATTTCTCGAAAGCGTTCGACAAGGTACCTCATAAGCGACTGCTAATGAAACTTAGATCTTTAAATATACATCCCGATGTTTTAGCTTGGATTGAGGAATTTCTAACTAACCGCTCCCAGTTTTGTTTCAATTGATGACGTGCCCTCTAACCCCCTTCCAGTAACATCAGGTGTCCCCAAGGCTCCGTTCTTGGTACCCTTCTCATCTTAATTTATATTAATGATTTAGCTTCGCATTTCTCCTCCAGTATCTGTTTGTTTGCTGACGACTGTGTAATCTATCACTCAATCACTAACCCGAACAGATCAAACCGCTATTCAAGATGACCCTTAACCACGTGCAGGACTGGTGTGAAAGCTGGCTTATGAAACTTAACCCTAACAAATGTAAAACAGTCTCTTTCACCGCCGTAGCAACCCCTCTTTGTTCCCTTACTCAATCGCTAACGTCGCCCTCGAACACGTGCAATCATATAAGTATCTCGGTGTCTCCCTGTGCAATGATCTTAACTGGCGCCTGCATGTTACCAACATTATATCATCTGCAAACAATCCCTAGGTTTCTCTGAAACGTCACCTTCGGCACGCCCCGCAGGACGTCCAAAGTTACAGGCCTACAAATCCCTTATTCGCTCTAAATTGGAATATGCCTCTGCAATCTGGAACCCACACCAAGCATATCTCATCGACTCACTTGAGGCAGTTCAAAACCGTGCTACTAGGTTCATTCATTCCTTCGTATTCGTATAATATTAGTGTATCATCCCTCAAAAAAGAATCTGCTCTTTTAAGACCTTGACGTTCGCCGTCGCATTTCCAGCCTCTGCCTGTTTCAAAAATTTTTCACAGCCCATTCGTCATCCCTACATTGTTCCACCAGCCCGCATATCTCACCGCACTAGACATCCACTTCAAGGTTGCCCGTCCACGCATTAGAACGACCACTTTTCTAGGTCCTTTTTTGTAGCGGACTGCAAACGACTGGAATGATCTTCCCCACGACGTCGTGGGGCCATTTCCTGTCCATTGACTTTTTCGACCAACTGTCTGACGTCTTTCGCAATGAAAACCCGTGTCAATAAAAAAACTAATAACAGAACTTTATTTGTTAACCCCACCCCTTATGTAATACCCCCTCGGGGGTCTTTAAGGAAATAAAGTGAAGTGAAGTTAAGATCTGAGCACACGGGTGGCCTACAACATTTGCGCCTCCATCGGAAAATGCAGCCGCATTTGTTCTGCCGTTCGCTACTTCCACCTATTCTTCAGGCTCGCAAGCGCGTAGCTTTAAAGGGGGTAAAAGCGGTAAAACTCACCAGAATAACGCTAACCCGGAGAACCAGGCGACGAGGCCGATGCTGAGGAGGGACCCTGACGTCACTCTTTGAAGCATCGCTAAAGCCGGAAGTCTGATGTTGACTGAGCAGATTCTCCTCTCTAGTTTGGTGGTAATGGTTAGAAGAGGAAAAAGGCACCTAATTTATGCAGCCCGGTACGGAGCACGGCGCAGTGTCTGCACGGGAACAGCAAAGTATAGAGTTGAAGAACACTGATAAAGGGAAGCCAAGCTCAATTTTACGCAGCGCCGCCCCAGCGGAGTGCGGGGAAATCTCCGGTAGCTCGGACGGGTCGCGCCTGCTTGCTTTTCCCATTGCGCGCGCGGAGAGCCTGTTTCTTGGCGCTTTTGTCTAGCATTTCTCGCGCTATGGGCGCCGTTCCTTTGTCATCCTGGGAAAAGTTCCTTTGTCCTATGGGCGCCGTTCCTTTGTCATCCTGGATATATTGCGAGGAGAGCAGAAGCAGAGTGTGACGTACATTGCGCGAGTTGTTGCATAGCTTAATAAAATATTTGTTGCGAGACTCATGCAAGCAAGGAAAAACGGAGGAGAGAGGATACGACGCCAGATTTCGCGCCATATCCTGTCTGCTTTTTTTTTTCTTCTTCCTTGTATCAGTCGCGCCCCAAATATTTTATAAAGCGGAGGCTAGTGGATTATTGCATATCACCGCTCTAGGCGATGCTCCTACGGTCTTGTCACATTGAAGAAGTTTTCGTGGCACTATTAACGTGGAATCGTGGAGAAACGCGATGGTTGAGTTCATATTTGAAAGGGAATAAGCGTGTCTGTGCACCGAGGCTATACAACAAATAGACAACCGCTGTATATTTCGAGATTGAGTGCTGGCTTTCCGAGTCAACCGTTTGTAATGTGACAGCAGCGATCAATCAATCAGTTTATTATTATGTCATAAAAGGATGTTACAGGGAGTAAAATATGTGCGATGCATATATACACCACAGCTTAAATACCGTCGTAGGAGCAAATCATGTGTTTTTTTTTATTCAGGTGATCGCGGTATACTCTTCCTGTCACCGCTCAATGTAAACAAATTTAAGCTGCGTGCTTGCACAGAATATTTATATTAATTGACCTTAAATGCAACACACGTAGATTTATTAGCAGGCTGATGTGTTTCCTGCTAAGATCGAGGTCGTGAGTTCGATTCCCGCGTACAGCAGCCACATTTAAATTGGAGCGCAATGCAGCAATTGACAATAGGGGCACGTTAGTCTCCCACGACGGATTGCTTCAGTTATATCGTGGTTTCGACGTTTGAAGTATTATGCTGGAAAAAAGAACCATGGTTGCGATAAAATTTTCGATGGTTTCGCCAAACCAGGCGCAGTTACCATCATGGGCCAATCTTTCTGCGCGTAACCATAAACATGCGCGATCCCAGTGAGTATACGGGTTGCACGGATGTTACATTCTGGAGCGAGAGAACCGGAAGATGCGCCATCTCTAGGAACATCTGGAATCGCAGCCGAGAGCTTTGCAGCGGTATAGTGAGCAGCGGCGAGATGTGTTGAACGCGCCACCGTCTCAACCTTAAATGTTTCCGCTATTTCTGGATGTAGAACAAGGAGTGCGATTTCCGCTTCGAAAGTCGAGGCACAGCCATGCACGCGTTAAAATGTTTATCTTGCCCGCAATAAATCGGTGTGCGCCATCAAAGATGTCCGAAAAGCGATGTACCCTTCGGCTGGCGCGCATCAAAGGAACACATTCGTGTCTGCAGCCTTCACTTCATCACAGGTGAATGTACTTTCGATATACGTCCAGACTTAGTGACGCTAGATATACACAGTGATGTACAGACCAGCTTTTCCCTTTGAAAAAACGTGTTTCGAGTTGCTAAGTTTGGCCTAACGGTGCAGCACACGTGTTCTCTTCTGAAGAAAATGCTGTGAACTAAAAGACCGTCTCGAATCCA